ACAAATCTCAGCACAACCACCACCACTACCGCTGCCAGCACCACCCCTCGAAGCAACAACAGCAACAACAAGAGCAGCAGCAGCAATCCTCCACCTCCACCACCACCACCACCTCTCCCATCAACCTCACACCCAATTAGCTCATCCTCCTCCGCCCCTTCCCCCTCCCCCTCCCCCTCCTCCTCCTCCCAACATGACACCAGTTTTCAAGTTGTGAGCGACGGGGCCACGAACTCAATCCGCCTGGTGCTGTCTCACTCCTACGCCAGCCCTGAACCAGCCGCGCGCGACATCGAGCGCCTCCTAGCGGAGCTCAAGCTCACCATGGACTCTCTCCGCACATCGAGGATCGACAAGAACCCGGCGCAACGACACATGTGTCAGTCAGAACTCCGCGCGGAGACACACCAGTTCATTCAGGAAGCCAAAGTCGTGGTGAGCTCTGCTAACAACTCACGCGAGAAGATGCTCGCCAAGATGGAAACAGCCGTACACACGCTCGCCAGACTCTTCCTGCACGGGCAAGCCACCATGCTTATGTTGGACTCGAACCACCAGGCCCAGCACTTGGGCATGCAGCTGGTCAAAGCCTCCAACGCCTTCAAGACGACAGTCGGAGCAGCCAACGCCGCTGCGGGGAAACCCCTCAACGACCCCCACATGAAGTACCTCATGAGACAAGCCACCAATCTGGCCTCACTTCTCGCCGCGCTGCTCAACACAATCCGGGAAATACAGGGACAGTGAGCAAGAAAGACAAACGTTTCAATCTAAATAGCTTGAATAAATTTGGAGAGGAGTTACGAGAGGCACATTAGAGTGCTTGCCTTCTTATCCAGAAGCCCACTGTTCAAATCTGCCAATTTTTCAAGGGACGCAAAGAAGAAACTTGCAAGTGTTCCAGAGAGGAGTGGAGAATGAACAAGACTGCTTGCCTTCTGAGCCTGAGGTCCAGTGTTCCAGTCTTCTACTGTTTCCAGGAGTGTATTACATACGAGAGGACTGTGCAGAGATCGAAAGGTATGCAGAGAAGCGTGCTTTCCTTCTGATCCAGAGGCCCAGTGTTCCAATCCTTCAAGTGACACTACAAAAAAAAAGAGTACAACTTGTGGTACCAGAGAAGTGTAAACGTTGCTGTGGAATCTCTCCTTCTGAGCGAGAGACCAAGTGTTGTCATGTCTGTAAGCTCACCAGGAAAGACATGTGAAATTACTGTGCTGAGTTGTAAAGTTGATGCTCGAGTGCTTAACTTCAGGGCTATAATAATTCCCCAAAAAGCACCAAGAAGGGAACACCATAATAGGCTACAACTGAGGGGTGTACGTGTTGGTGTAGAGTGCTTGCATTTAGAGCTAGTGGCCTAGAGTTTGAGTCCCTGATGGGGATACAGAGAAGGACGCACAGAGGGGTGTTGGCTAGGTGTGTCTTGAACATGTCTGTTTATGTACTTGCAGAATGCTTGCTTTTTGAGCGAAAGATGTTTGGTTCCGATACCTGTAGAGACGTTAAAGAAGGAAGCTATATATATACAAAGTTGGAGAGTTGCGAAGATGGCTTTTTGAGTTGTTAGGATGCCTGAGTTGGGAGCCAGAGCTGAGTGGTCCACAAATCCAGTCCCACTGGCCTTCACAACCTTCCCTCTCTATTTTCACACCGCATAGAGAAAACAGTACGGTGTACAGTACAAGTTTCTTTGTTTTTGGTTTTCTGTTTGGAGTTGGGTTTTGTTTTTGGTTGTGTTGTTGGTTGTTGTTTGTTTGTTTGTTTTTTTGGGGGAGAAGGTTGCTTTTTTTAGTGGGTGGGTTAGAGGAAGACTGCAGAATCTGTACTTGTGAGAACTGCTCAGAGAGACGATGCTGTGGGTGGTGGGTGGCTGTCCTGAGAGGTAAAGATCCTCTCTATGGGGGAATCTGAGAAAAGAGCAGTGGACAAAGAAATTGACAAAAAAGAGTTAAGGGATCATAAATTAAGAGACAGTGAATGCTGGAGAGAGATTGAGGGTGGAGGGGGGAGGGGGCAGGAGGGGAGGGGAAGAGCAGGAGGGGAGGGTGGGGGGGAGGAAAGAGAATGGAGGAGAGAGAGTGTGTGTGTGTGTATGTGTGTGTGTGTGTGTGTATGTGTGTGTGAGAGAGAGAGAGAGAAAGAGAGAGAGAGAGAGAGAGAGAGAGGGGTGAAGGGAGTGTGAAGTGTAAAAAACTTCTATCTGTGGATTCTGATTGCTTGTGTGATCAGCGAAAACGAATACACATAAGAATATTAATCCAGTTGTGTATCAGCTAAGATTCCTGTTGAAGTTGAAGTTGTATATTTTATTGAAATGTTTATTCTTCGCATTCTTCCGGTACCATGTTATTTCTGCAAGGTCACCAATATTCCACTGGAAAAAAAATATTTGTACAGTTTGAAAATATTAACAGCGAACTTGTTGAAATATTTATATACATATACATACTTATTACATTATAATATTATTATTTGATTATTATCATATTCCAGTGTGTGCCCAAGTGCGTGTGTGTTGTGTGTATTTGAAACTATGTTACGCGGAGATATTTCACGAATAAGAAATATGTTAATGATGAAACCAAGAGAGAAGCCCACAAACTGTGCACATCCGCAGATGGAAATGAAGCTTTTGAATATTCAAAATGTGGTAGACGCTTCTCTGCCAGAATAATTGGTCTCATTATCCATAGCAGAAGCCACAAGTCATATGAACCTTTCTTTTTTTTCTTTTATTGCTAAAGAAATACTTTCCTCTGTTCATGCACTGGTCATTGTCAGACATTGACGGGCGTACTGTATTATTATTATCATTATTATTTTTATTATTATT